CTGCGTGGCCAGACGCGGTTCACGGTTCGCGGTTCACGCGCCGGGGCTGCCCGTGATTCCCCCGTGGAGGGAGCGAGTCACCCTGAAATAACCGTGAGGGGCAGGTCTGGGGGTGGGGAGCATCACTGCTGGCCCCACCAGTGAGTGTGCTTCCAGGAGCGGCCATGGAAGAGCTGGGGCGGCAGAGACCGGGGAGGGGACTGCAGTCACAAGGGTGACCGTGTGGGTGGCCCCAGGGCTCCCCTCAAGAGGAGCCGGCAAGGAGACTAGCACAGAGCCTCCACGGGTGGGCAGCGGTGTCAGGTGCCCCCCTGGGGGGGGGGTGAGGACTGAAGACTGACCTTCGGAAGCAGTGCTGATGAAGCAGAGAGAACTGCCAGTCTCCTTAGAGAGAAGGGAAGAAGCTGGCCGGCAGGTCGGGGTGGCACGCGGGGTCCCATCTGCTCTGACTCTTAAATGGGAGAAGGTTGGCAGGTGCCTCCCAGGGGAGGATCGTGGAGATGCGGGGAGAGCAGGTGAGAACAGCCTGCCTGCCGGCAGTGGGAGTGGGTCAGACCGAGCGCCAGGGCCCCCGTGGGATGTCTTCTGTCTCCTTTGGAGGAAAGGAAGGGCACCTGCTGGCATGGCCAGGCCGTCTGAACTTGGAACGGGGCTGGGACCATGGCTGTGCGGCTGCCCAGAGGGGCTCTGATGGTGGGACAGGACGCATGCACCTGTGGACAGGGGCCGGTGTGTCCATCGCTTCACGTTTTCCTGGCCGGCTCAGACATTCCCAACAAAGTAAGAGTTTTGTGCATTCTGAAAAGGGTTCTGCCAGGATGTTTAAGGACCCTTTTCTCTTTGGCGCTATAACCCCTTCTTGTCACTTGAGACATGGGCACCGGTCAGCTACAGAGTGGAAAAGCCATTTCCGCACCCACTGCGACACTGCAGCCCCGGACAGCGTGTCAGGCCCGAGGGGCCCAGGTCTTTCTGTTTTGCTGCCCACGTCCGCCGAGGCGGCTTCTCCAAGCCAGAGCATAGGATAAGCCTCATTTCCGACGTGGTTCTGACGCAGCTCTCTCCCAAGGACAGATGTGCCATGGGGCCTGGGCTCTGCTCCCTGTCACCCTAGGCACACAGCCCACCGACCTGGGTGCTCTTGGGGACACCCTTCTCCACTGCAGATGCCTGGCAGCTGGGGCAGCGGGGTGGTCCCCAGGGGTCCGTTCTTGCATCTCTTCCCTGGCCCCGGATGCACCAGGGTGGCCTGCGTTGGTGGTCACAAGGATAGACGGGTGGATGGAGGGGCGGATGGAAGGACGGACAGGCGGACGGACGGACGGGTGGGCGGATGGGCAGATGGACCGGTGGACAGCGGGAGTCCTCCCTTTTTCTGTCCCCTGGCAGAGTGAGTGTCGGGTCAAAAGAATCTGTTCCTTAACCAGGAGGGGTCTTCTGGGCCTTGGGTTCCCTTTGGGCGAATGAACCAAAGGAGTGATTGAGTCATCTTCTGTTCCTTCCTGAATTAATTTTGGGAAGTTGTATTTTACCGGGAATGTTTCCGCTGCAGCCAGGTTTTCAGAATTGTTGACAGACGTTCACAGTGCTGACCTCCCGCCTCCCATCTCTGCTGCGCCCGCGGTCCTGGTTCTCTCTTCGTTCCTAGTGCGCTTGTTCGTGCCTCTGCTTCAGCTCCCTTGGTCAGTCCTGCCAGGACTTGTCCATTTAATCAGCCTTTGCGGAGAATCAGCTTTCAGCCATAGGGCCTCGTCGTGCGCTTCCGCCCCTTTCTGTGCGCTTTCTTTTTCCTTCTCTGGAGCTGCTCTGCTCTTCTGCTCATTTCTTAAACGGAGCACTTGCTTTCCAGTCTTAGTTTCAGTACGGGCACTGAAGGTTGTGAACGTTCCCCAGCGCCGTGTTTGGTGGCGTCTCACACACCAAGATGTGTGGCATGTTCATTATTTTTTACTTCTGAGTGTTTCCTGATTTCTGCTGGTTTCTTCCTGGATCCACGATTGGTGTGTTTCTTAATGTGCGGCCAATGGGGCTCGTGGTCTCTTTCTGTTACCAGTTTCTAACAAGCCGCACTGGGGTTGGCATTTATTCTTTGTGGGTACTGGCTTCACAGGCTAGTAGGTGGCCAGTCTGCGTAGACGCCCCATGTTTGGAATGGCGTGTCTCCCTGCCTGTTTTACCGAGTTCCCTTTTTGTCCACGAAGCCCAGCTTGCTAACTGCTGTGGACACTTTGACAGCATGTCTCACTAGGTGCACACTTACCCGTCTCTCCTCTTAGTCCTGTCCGTTGTCACTGCATACGTTTTGAAGCACTTCTACTGTGTACAAATATTAAGTCATTGTATCCTTGTGATGAACTGAAATTTGTATCACTGTGCAGTGACGTTCTCCACGTGACAGATGCGCAAGGTGTCCCCAGCCTCCTTCCTGCCAGGTTGCCCATGTGTTCCTTTCAGCCTCCCTCCGAGGTTGTACATGTTCCTTTTGCAAATAGCGTAAGTGGAGTCCATTATTTTTTGTGCCCTGGCCAATCGCCAGGCTTCACGTGGAGACTGGTCATCGCGGCTGGTTTAGTTGCTATTTTGCAGCTGTCTGGATGCGGGGGCGGTGATTAGTTTTATTTAATTTACTGGAGGGACTGGGGATTGAACTGAGGACCTGGTGCACACTGAGGGCACACTGTGCCCCGAGCCCCACCCCCACCCCCTGCAGTCGTCCACTGTCCTTCAGATTCATTCCTCCCACCTTATTCTGCGCAGGGTCTGCCCCCTTTCCTGTAGCGCCTTCCTTTTCCTCTTTTCTTGCCTTCTCTCGGCATGGCTGAGGGGCCCCACGTTTCCTCTGCACCCGAGATATACAGCAGCGGCTGCTTTTCAGGAATGAGCCATTAATGCGTCTGCGCGCGCCCGTGACGTGGTCGCTGACCTCGCCCCCACAGCCACGGCCCTGACGGCCCTGGCCCTAGGGGGTCGCCAGTTAAACACCGGACACTCTTGCACTGAAATGCCTTGCCTGTCGAAGTTAGACGTAGCCAATGTCCTGTGTGTTCATCTGCTAAGCGGGCAGCCCCGGCCCGTTCTCCCCACTCCCAGCTCCGAGTCTTCCCTGACTGGTGTCTTTCTTTTATTTCACTAGTTAGACATCGTGGTTATTGCTTCCTGCAGCCCCTGTTTTCCCTGTTCATTTGGCCTTCCCTGCGTTTATGCCGTTTTCTTGGCTCGCCATTCGTTGCTCAGACAGCCATCAGGGCTCCTCGTCCCTCTGCCTGGAGCACCTTGTGTAGACCCCCCCCCCGGAAAAGAGCCCCCCTCGGAGAAGGGCCCCCCTCAGAGAAGGACCCCCCCGCCTCAGAGAAGGGCCCCCCTCGGAGAAGGACCCCCACCTCAGAGAAGGGCCCCCCCTCGGAGAAGGGCCCCCCCGGAGAAGGGCCCGCGTGCCCGCTTCCCGGCTCGTTTGTTTTTGAGTCTTTGTTTCGCCCTCTTTCTTGAATCTCTTCTCCCTGTTTGCTTGTCTCCTCAGTCACCTACCGCATCAGTGTGGACTTCGGGATGTTCGTTCTACACCCTGAGAGTTCATTCAGGGCGTGTCACGTATTTGACTTCCACTTGGCCCCGTGTGTCCCTCTGACGTGCCCGCTGGCTTGTCTTTGGCATGTCCTTCCTGACTGCGCTGCGGGATGCCCCAGGCTCACCCCGCGTCTTCCCCACCCCAGCCCCGAGCAAGCCGTCTCCCCAGGGAGCCTGACTCCTGTCATCAGAGAGTGGCATTAGAACCCTGATTTGTTACCCCTGAGCCAAAGTCTTGCCGCCTTACTCATGTGCTTCCCGCTGCTCTTGATTGGATCGCATGCCCCCGAGACCCGGACTGGCAGCGCTAACGGGCAGCCTGGCTTGGGGACACGTGCCTCACGAGAGCGCAGCAGTTCCTCAGCCAGCCGGTGGCATCGCGGACCCCGGCCACTGCAAACTGCCGCTCTCCACACGCGGTGTCTGGAACCTGGCAGCACCTCGGAGCTCTGTTCTTTAACCTCTGCTCAGGACTTTCCCACCAGCTGCCCCACGGGGCCCGCCATCTGTGCACCTGCTCTGCCCGCTCGTCCGCGAGTGGGGTGGTGGGCACTGCGGCCAGGCCAGCTCGGCCTGGGCCTGTCCCCCGACACCTGACCTCCCTCGGCACTTCCTGCTCTGGTCCCGAGCCCAGCAGGGCTCCCCCAGTTTTGTAGGCTTGTCTGATTATTTGCACTGTTGCTGTATTTTTTTCATTGGAGAATAGTTGGTTTACAATGTTGTGTTAATGTCCGGTGCACAGCATAGTGATTCAGTTACATGTACATATGTAGAGACCTCTTCATAGTCTTTTCATTATAGGCAATGACCAGGTTGTTACTGTATTTCTGCGCTCTATTTCCACCCACCGTGTTTGGCGGATTCTCTGCAGACGCTCCGGTCTGCCCTGCGGCCCTCCAGGGGCCTGGGGCCGGTCTGTATTCCCTCTTTCACCAGCTGCTGCAAAACTTAGGAGGAACCCGGGGCAAAGGTTCCCGCTCCTAGAGGTTCTGCTCTCTCCCTCCCGTTCACCTTTTCCCCCATTACTGGAAGAAAGCCATGAACGGGATATTCAAGCACTCTTACGATTCATAAGAAAGACCCTTATTTATTAGGGATATGAAAGTGCTGCTTCCCCTGATGTGAGGCTGTGGTATCAGCAGTGGGTACCAGGCTCACACGTGTGTGCCCAGGCCACTCCCAGACACCATCTGCATCTTGCTCGTATGGGAACCCACAGATATGCCTGAGCATCTCCTAAGAGAAATGTCTTGAAGAAAATAAGCCTACTTTGGTAAAATTTCGTATAATAAGTACCAAAACCATAATTGGCTTTTTAAAGGTACTTACTCTGTTAGCAGGAACAGTTAAGAAAGAGATGCTCTGACCACCCCATTTGAACGCACACGGGGAGCATCTCACATCCTATAACTCACTAAATATTCCTTCTTTCCCAGCTTGATCCTCTCCCAGAGAAAGTTCTACAGCAGAGACCCAATGCGAATGCTGTCCGGTCTATGGAGAAAGTCATCGAAATCCACAGTGAGTGGCCTGGCCCAGGGCTCACAGGGAAGCCAGCAAGGGAAGGGACCATCTCCCCCGCCCCCAGCCCGCTCTCATGGCCAGCTGCTTCCCTGGGCCTACATGACAGGGCCCCCTGCTTTCCACCAGAATTCCATGAGCTGCAGACTCTCATTTTACCCCCATTAATTTCCCCACAAACTACCAGAACAGTGTCGTCACACCACTATGCAGAGCAAAAGAACTGAGGCTCAGGGAGTCTGTGACGTCACTTGCTTCAGGTCCCCAGCTGCCAGGGGTGGGGCTTGGATGTGAACCTGTGTCCTAGGGTCTGGCTTCTTCCTCTGACCAGAGAACCCTTGGCCCTGCAGAGACCCAGCGCAGGGTGCAGAGCACCTCTTGCCTTGAGCAGCAGGTGCTAGGGGCCCAGGGGGCTGGCACCCAGGGGACCTGTGCCACACTGCCCCTCAGGTGAACTGGCCACGCCCTCCCCACACGGCGTCTGTCCTAGGTCTCTGGGTGACACAGTCCTGGAGCCTGTCTGTGTCAGTGGGCAGAATCCAGGGATTCCCTGCTCCCACGATGGGTTCCCGGCCCCAGAGCCATTCCCCACAGCCTCCCCAGTGAGAAGCCCCTGTGTGCAGAGGAGACACTGAGAGCCTGGCTCTGGTGCTCAGGCCCCACATGGAGACCCCCATCATCTCAGGGGCTCCAGGGGGAGCCTTACCTTCTCGCCTGCTCCGGGAGTCAGGAAGCGCCCCCCCCACCCCCGTGCTTCCCGGGGAGCACTCGGCTCTCCCAGGAAAAGGAAGCTTTACCCAGGAGTCCCTGTCTTTGTGAGTCTGTACCCAGGGACCCCCTGGCTTCTGTCTCCCAAACACGTGGTGCTTTCAAAGTCACCAGTGATGAGTCCTGCCTGAGAACCGCGGGCGCAGAGGGGCTTCTGGCCAGCAGGGTACACAGGGTCCGCTGACCGAGCCCCCGGCCCCCCAGGCCAGTACTGGCGCTCCCTGCAGCGCCCCTCCTCCACCGCGGGGTACTCCCTGGTCGAGGCCCAGAAGTGCGAGACGGAGGAAGCCGAGACCGTCACGGCCATGGCCTCGCTGTCCGTGGGCGTGAAGGCGGCCGAGAAGAGGTGAGCTTGCGCCGCCCCGGCCGTGGGTGGAGACGCGTTCAGGGGGACGACCCGAGTCTTTGCGCCTGGACCAGAGCGCGGGGCTTCTCCGCGCAGGCCCTGCTGGGCTCCCCGGGGAGGGCGGGCCGGCGGGCGGGTGGCGGCCCCATCCTGGTCCAGGCCCTCCTTCCAGCGTGCAGGGCCCTTGGAAACA